ATGTTTTGTTACAAAAAAAGACATCTTAATTTTATAAAAAAGTTGAATAAATATTACTTTATTACAAATATAACAAAAAATTAACATAAATTAAATATTACAATATTACTTTTTTCTGGAGAGAAGTCTGTTAAAAAATAATTAATCAATCAACCAATGAAGCTACACAAAAAGAAAATCCTATTTATATATCACATAGCAATAACATAACCTATTGGAATTTTGGCAAAGAAAGTACAGAGATTTACCTATTTATATTTAAAAGAACAATAAATTTATTTGTTTTATTTTGCACACGTTTTTTACTAATGCTATTTCCTTCATGGTGTGTTTGTTTGTACAATCCAAAAAATGGCACCCCAAGCAGTGGTAACCTCCTCGGAGCGACATACCGTTTATATTTAATTAAAGTGCCATTATTCCCATCCAATTTAAATGGTCAATGAACATGTGAAAGTCAAAATAACTTGACATTATTCAAAAGTTATGTTCAATTTCATATTGTACTATCATGAAAAAAATAACTAATATTCCAAGTGATCAACAGAAACGTTCATATTGTATCTATAACATTCAATTCTTAAAAAGATTGAGGCAATCTTTTTTATAAATTTGATTATGATTTCAGCAGGAAACATATATTGGAAGGACATAAACTAGTACAAACCCCGACCCAAAACACATATAAAGGGTTGTCTGCGTAACAAATTGTTTGTTGGTTAGATAAAAAAATATCAAAAATACGATACTGGGAATTGCTGCCCACCGCCCACGCCCCCTAGCACCGGCTTAAGCAGAATTCAACATTTAAACATGAAAATGGTGAGTTTTTTAATTTAAAAACCATCCGCAGGTGTGTTCATATGGCGATTATCAGGGAACCTTCAATGAGACATTTTCGTGCCATTCCTTGAAGATCGACGTATGGTCCCCAAGTAAAAGAATGCGTGTGCTCTAGACGAGAAAACAATGGGCGACTCTAACCAAATGAAATTTTGAGAGGGGGGTCAGATATTATGAAGTCTGAATATCACAAAGAAGACTTCAAAAGACAAACTTAAAAAGCAGGCAACAAGTCCTAAGGTACGTGGTTCGACAATATTCAAGTAGGAATATTCGAATCACCCATCCAGAAAAAAAAATCAAATAGAAGAAACTAAATTACTATATACTCGCAAACACAACTTGCCTTACTAGACGATCGATCTTCATGGATCGGAAATAGTGTATGTACGGGGCGACTTTTTGCGACCGCCTCACGGCACAAATAACACTGGTGTGCCATATATTAGGGAAAAACAGAATCCCTGAAGGGAGTCCGAAATGTTTTGTTTAAACATGCATTTAAGATCAATTTTGTGAAGATAAGTTGGCGCTAATTTGAATTTATAAAGCTTCTTAGAATTACTGCTATCCTATAAAGAAACATGGTCGTAACTGAAGAAGTGTACAAACCTCGAGGGTTAACAGAAAAATGCATTTGATTGTTTAAACTTTTAACAAAACTGTTTAATCAAATGTTAGTAACGTACCATATATCAGTATGAAAATATGTAACCACAGCAAGTCCATTGTTCCTATTTTCATCTGTTCATGTTAAATCTTACATACGTAGTAATCAATAAACAATATCCATACGTCCGCTTCGAAATAACATGTATTACATGTTACTCTCTTTGCATTTCAAATCTTTGAAAAACTAATCATAACTAGCTTACGCTATATTTGAAAGACGATAACTGACACAGATTGCAATTTTTTATTACATTTGTATGCAAATGTTTAAAAATAACGAGCATTTTCGGAGTGGAGTACATGCATTTGTGATAATTGTTCAGATAACACAGTGCATGTTCATATCGGTATACCCTCTTTGCAAAATAAACTTAATCGCTACCCTCATTGCACATGCGCAGGTCACTCTCTGCTGAAAACAAATCGACGACAGAGATACCATGCAGTAAATGTTCATTCTACTGTTAAACGTTGGTATGTGGTGTGAAAAGCAAGTATACTAAGAACACTAGAATGTTTTAACTATGTCTTTCTTAGGAATTCGTTCATTGTTCAGTTACTGCAACTCCACAATTAGCTACACAAAGTCGCAATGTCTCGGCATGTTTTGTGGGCCAGAATGAACCAATGAACAAAATATCGCGATGTTTCGCAACACCCACCGCCTTATTATGTTTTGTGGGCTAAAGTGAACAAGTGGTTTGATTATGATATTGATATGCACCCTGGATAACGTACTGATAAATCTTCCTTCTCTACTTTTTCACACAACGTATTGATTACGATCCATATCAATTTGATCAATATTCACCGAAAATTATCTCCACTCCCGTCAAGTCAAATAACCTCAGTGCCCTTTAACAATCTCAGATTTTTTTCTATATTTTTTTATTTATTTATTTACTTATTTATTTGTTAATTTATTTATTTTTTGGTTTGGTTTCTACTTCATGCTTATCAAAATTTATCAAAATTAACAATATAACATTCGTATACTTCCCTAATAGTATTGCTTACTCATTTGAACTTTGATGTTTTAATGACAATGGGTTTTTAGAAGAGATAAAAAATGAATGTAGCAAGTCAATATTATGAGGTTATTATACATTGTCGAGTACAGTATTGAATTCTCATGGCCGAATCTGCTGTAAATTCTGAATCCGTGTACGAGTCCGGTTGAAACTGCATTGTTCTAAACAATGTAAAATGACCTGGGTTTTTTTCATTTTTTTTACATGTTAACGAAACTGTGTTGCTTCAAATACTATAAGAAATTGATAAAGCTTTTGTTCTACCCTGAAAAATGAGATTCGATGGGGTACGATATGCATTTGATATAGATATTTTGGATTCTGAAAATGGAAAGTTAATGAGGCTATATTGGATAGACATGCATTTAATATAAATATTGTGTAATCCGAAAATGAAAACTAGGCTATAATATCTGGTGCGATATGCATTTGATATGAATTTTTTATTCTTGAAATGAAATCGAGGCTAAATTTATAACATTGTATCCAATAAAGATTTCTTTTTGAAACATCACGGGGTTCAAATTGTATTTTAAAATGTGCCCCCAAAAAATGTACAAAAAGCCTCAATTTAACATGTTTGCAAGGACAGTTTGGTTATTTTCAAACGTATACATTCCAGAACAAAACTTTATTTTGCTATTTTCCTTTAGGATTTAACCCGTATAACAATGAATTGGCGCATGCACCATTCGCTCTTAATGCAGTATACCAACCTTTTTCTTTCATGCAAGCATTCAAGTATCCCTTTTTCCAAAATCTAAACAAAAAGTGCAATTGGTCACTGCAGGCGTCAGATATAGTTTTATATACTTTATGGATCCCAGCTGAAAATTGCTGGGTTCGTTGCTGCTTATGCATTACTTCACAGCTTATAATGATATAAAACCAGTCATTTATTACGTCTTTTCAGCTTTGCATCGCTTATTTTTCAAAATACTATCTACTGTCAGTCTGAAGTCTATGTTTATGAGGGTCAATCCGCCCACAAGGGAGCAGAAAGCAGCTTTCGCTGTCGAGAACGGACCAGTATGTCACCAGTCATGCCCTTAAAGGGTTAATCTTGAAGCACAAAGTGATGATAATTTACCTCCCAGAGAAAAATAATTATTTCTAGAAAACAATCTAAGTTCAACGGGCAATAGTCAAGCTAAAGTATTGAATCTTCTCACACATGATTTGAGTGTTAATAAAAAGCATATATATAAAGTTTGAAGTAGATACATTAAGAATTAAAGAAGGTATTACAAAAAGAAAAAAATCATGAAAATTCTAAGTTCAAGGGGGATAATTCTGATATTTTTATGCCAAAGTTGTAAACCTTGTCACATCTGATGGGGTTGATGATCTGCAACATAAATTTGAAGTTTGAAGTATATACCTCAATAAATAAAGATCGAACTTATAGTGAAAAGGCGTAAAAACTTGATTCAGAAATCTTGACGAGATCGCCGACGCTTGGTGTGTAGACTCCATATAGTCAAGATTAAAATGATGTGTATATAATCTCCATACTGCCATCTATCCATATTTCAAGTTTCATAAAAATATTTTCAGTACCTAGCTTTTGAGTAATCACAAATACTATTATATTTGCCATATTTTAGCCTATTTGTTGCCATAGCATCCAAATTTTTCAACATAGTAATAAAAGAAAATGATGTGTATAATCTCCAGACTCCTATCTGCCAAGTTTCATAAAAATATTTTCAGTACTTTTTGCGTTATCACGTGATCCAGTTTTTGACATATTTTCAGTTTATTTATTGCCATAGCAACCAGAATTATTTTGCCAAAGGAAGCTGCATAATCTCCACACTGCCATTTACATGTATGTTTCATAAAAAATATTTTCACTACTTTTTGCGATATCACAGGATCCACTTTTGTGGACGGACGGATGGAGGGTAAACCAATAAAGTTCCCTCCGGTTAAACCGATAGGGGACTTATAATGGAATTTTAATGGACCGATTTTATTTCTTTGCAGATCACATATAGTCACGTGGTATACGTGTATGCACGTGTATGAATATAGATTTTTCAGCAAAATAATTCGCATATCACGTTGTATTATTTATTAAGGGTTTGTTATAATATTATTTGGGCCATTAACACCATTTTAAGTACATGTTTAGATTTTTTTATCTCTATTTTTTATCAAGGATGACAAACTATAACTAATGTGAGATTTTTATACCGAAATAAATCTATTTTATTTAGAATCTTCTGGTTTGCTTCCTGAAGACTGGGACAAAATGCTGAGGTTAACCCTTTATGCGATCTGGCTCGGTGTCCGCCTAATAATCTAGAAGTCTAGTCCCAGGCCTGGTGCTTTAATTCCTGATGATTTTTTCAAGACACCAAGAGAAAACTCAACAGCATTAAGCTAAATTATTTACCGTGTGCTTGGCTTGTAAATTTAATTTTTCGTTAGTTTTTGAGCAGTTAGCTGACTTAATCGAATAAATCAGTCGGTGCTTCTAAGATTTATTTCAATCAATACCACAAGGAACCGACCATTAGCAAAATGTTGGATTAATTAATTTTACCACCATAAATCCAGGTTTTTCGTTATAAAGAAAAGTTAAGATGGTAAGAAAAACAGAATTTGATTATTGCTATCCATTTTAATTGATTAAATACATTTACGGTATTTTTTCTACTCGATAATAAAATTTCTTATAGGGTAATTCGGATAGGACATCAATTCGGATAGGGATTTTATAGTATCGTGTCATACTCGATTAACATAGCCTTTATCCCTACAATATTTTATAGTGTTCATACTGCATAAAGGTATAGTTTGAATTGTTTATTTCAATACTAAAATCATTTGAATAGTTCTTTTCACCTGAAATTCGGTTTAGTTTACAAAATGTGTAACACAGCTGACACACCCTAATCTAGGAGGCTGTCCCCTTGAATTCTTTCATATTACCGCACAAAATAGGATGTTTTTTGGCTGTAAATTATATTTAAAACCATTTTAAAAGTAATGAAATTTTACTCAATTTATTTTGGGTTCTTAATACACATAAATGTTACTACTTGACAGGAATACAGTAGATTTTGTCAGGTAAACTGATTGTCGGGTAAATATGAAGGATCACAGTAATTCCAAACATCTAAAGTGATTGAGTTGCTTGATTGAATTCTGGCACCATAACTGAGGGGTGTTGGCAATGAATCTAGTAATATTTTGTTTTCTAAATTATCGATAGTAACCACAATTTTTGCTTGTTTATTTTTAAGGCTGGAGATGGATCAAGTCTCCAGTCACTGGAGCATCTTATGTCAGAATTTTTCAATGCTGCAACTAGTAATGAACGCAAGAGGCAGATAGGTGAGTATACTTTCATATCATGATACAAATAAGTACCTATAGTTTTAGCAAATTAAAGTGAATTATAGCTATAATGTTAAAAATTTCCTTCAGGCACAGAGAACCACAGATATGAATGTTTTTTTGCTTGTTTTAAGAGGGCAAACATGTATTTAAATTTTAATAATGTTTTAATAATGGAGTTTAGGACAATAGATGTACCAGTGGCAGTTAATTACCTGAAGAAAGTAGTAATGCGTCATAAAGGAAGCCAATTGTCAAAGAGCAAAAGATGGCACAGCCAGTTCCCAGGCATCGAAAAATTATTTTCAGAGTCACTCATCCTGCAGGAAGAGTAACTTCTAAATCCAATGTGCAGGCAACATTTTTCTACTCGTCCTGCATCAAGTTTTCTTAAATTCTACTTGTAATTACGAGCAGACGAGTGGAATTTTCAATATCTGAGTTCCATTCACATCGTATAGCTCTTAAGTCATAATCACTCAGGTAATTCAAGTAGCAAATCTAAAAAAATGTTATTATTTAGTGATGTATTATCAAAGACTTCATTTATTGTTACCATCATTGTAGAGGAGATACTGAATCAGTTTAGTCAGACTAGAGATTGTTGGAAACAATGCCTGTTCTTCTTATCCAACTCACAGAACGAATATGTTATGATGTACTGTCTCACTGTACTGGAGGTAAGGATTTGTTGAGATTTTGGTGTAAAACTCTGTTTTTCTGTTTAAGAAAACATTAATTTTATTGTATGGTAAATCTTTGATTAAACATATTAATTTCATGTATGGGAAGTTGTCAGCAACTTGCTTTTAAATATCTGGAAAATAAAGTGATCCCTCAGAAGCATTAGAATCAGCAAAATTACATGAAAATTGCAGACTCAGTTTGATTGAGTCTGTACTCTGCACGTGAGCGATAATGAAAAAGTGCAAATTCTTTCATGCCCTCTAGCACTGGCTTGAGCTGTACTCAATTTTCAACACTTAAAAATGCTGGAATCAATTATCCTGAACGGCAAAAGACCAGAAAAATATAACAACTCTGAAGTGAAGTATGTGGCAACTTTTTACAGCTGCCACATGGCACTTGACACCTGCTGTTGTGATGTATACATATAAGTATGTGGAAAAAAATTGATAAAAGTGATAAAGCCTGAAAAATAACTTTGACAAATGAAAATAAAGTGGACTTTAGGAGACTTTCAAAAAAACTTAAAACATTTTTTGGTTTTGATTCCTTGTTTATGTACAATTATATGAATTTAAGTTCAGAAGTATACTTCAGACGGCAGAGCTTGTTGAGGTTATCTATTTTCTGCCGGTTTCGGTTCTATCAAACCTTCATCAGGATCAGATTAAAGATAAGTTGTAGAAAATAAGTTGAATTTATTTTTGTTCCAGATGAATTCAATTCAGGATTAAATATTTCAATAACTTTATTAACTTTTCTTTTCAGAATCTCATAACTAAACAATGGGTAGGATTTTCTGTAGATGACAAGCGAGAGATAAGAATGTTGTTGAACCAGTACTTGCTCGAACATCATACCAAGGTGCCAACATTCATCCGGAATAAGCTTGTCAAACTGGTGGTAGATGTTGGCAAGATCGACTGGCCTCACTTCTATCCTGACTTCTTCTCTAGTATCATACAGGTGATTGATGTCACTCTCAATGATATCATAATACTCCATGATTGTAATGATGTTGATTTTCATTTGATTAATAGTGATGTGAATATTATCTGTAATGTATACTTAGTGCCTACAATTTTACGAAATAATTTTTTTTAAATTTTATAGAAAAGTTTTTGAATTTGTTTTATTAACCACTTTTGAAGAAATCTTACTGATTTTTAAAATGGTGCTTGTTTTATTTATTTATTTTTCATTGGTTAAATTGCGACATATATATGTTATATACACAGCTGTTGTCAGTTTATGAAGAAATCTTACTTTTTCTTTGAAAAATGATGCTTGCTGTATTATTAATAGGTTATAAATATTTCTGACAGGTTCTATGGCGGTATATAAATGGTTGGTATAATCCTCCCCGCGATATTTCAAAATTAATTACCATTTATATAGGGTCATATAACCTGTCAAAAATCTTTATAACTTATATTCTGAAGTAGTTGCTTGCCATATAACCTAAACCTTTCTTAAATATTCTTTGTAAAAAAAAAAATTGTGAACTACATGTAGCAAATATATACTAGTAGCTTTGTATTAGGCTCCAAAGAAGAGAATTGTAAGAAAATTATTTACTTATTACTAATTTTATTTTAATTTACAGCTTGTACAGCAGTCAGAAACCACATCACTGGGGATCATACTCCTACACACAGCCTCAGAGGAGCTGGCTGTGCCTAGGGAGGAACTGTCTATGTCCAGAAAGGAAGAATTGCATAAGCTTCTTCTCCAGCAAGTTCCCACTATCTTAAGCTTACTAAACAGTAAGATAATATGTTGATATATAGATCATATAATTCGAGCCGCGTCACGACAAAACAAGCATCCACGCAGTCTGATCAGGATCCATGCTGTTCGCTTACAAATCCTATAACAAGTAGAGAAACTGATAGCGAACAGCATGGATACTGATCAGCCTGCGCGCATGCGCAGGCTGGTCTGGATCCATGCTGGTCGCAAACCCATTATGTTGGTTTTGTCGTGACATGGCTCATTTGTAATAACTATTGATTTAATATACTTTCTAAAGCCATGCGCTAGACTTGTGTTATTTTTTGCAATATTTAACAACTTGTCATTCAAAACTCCTTTTTGAAACTAGTAGTAAGTTCAAACAAGCAGTTTGAACACTGGCTTGAACTGCCTAGGGTCATTGTTAACTTGAATTATATAAAGCCTCTGTACTGAAGGTAGGTGCTTCTACTAAGATAGTTGTAAAATTGCACCAAGGATTGTCAGTTTACTTCCTTATTCAGTAAAATATGCTTGTGAAACTTGTGATTCATGCTGCAGATTAGCCAAATAAGCATTTAATTATTTAAAGTCTTTTTTTAGGATAGTACTTGAAGCTGTTGGTAACATATAGTGCTTTTTTCTTTTTTTTTTTAAATGTCTGAATGCATAGATCCCTGACCTGACTAATTCTAATTATCTGATTAGTAGATACAGTAAGAATTTCACCACAACATATCTGTTAACAAGAGAGCACATGTCAATGTTTGTGGTTTGTTATTCAAAAAAAAGGTCAGAGTAGGAATCAATCAATTAATGAAGGAGGGACTTCAGTGGTTTTCCTCTGATAATAAAACGCAGAAATTTTTTTAAATGACATAATAAGTGTTTGTCTTGAAATCTTGCCAAAAAATAGTGAATATTCATTTAATGTCAGCTTCATTGTTTTACAGATGTACTTGATATGGCTTTGGAAAGACATCGTCACCTAGTAATGGCCACTCCACCACCATCCCCTACCCATGGAGAGTCGGGAACGAGGAAACAACAGTCTGTTCTCCTATTCACAGATTCGCCATTGAAATCTGGTAAGTGCACAGAGCTATATTTAGATGTAGAGGAAGCTATGACATCATACACTTAAAATCTGTATCAGCGATTAATTATGCCGCAAGTACACATATTCATGAGCAGGGCTCACGCTGTCAGTCGCCATTTGCGATAATTTTATAATATTGGCGATTATTTGTGGATTTTGCATCTAATATCCACCAATTAGCCACAGACATCGTCCGAAATTGATAACCTGAATATTTACCAACCCAAAATTTGCTGTAAACTGCCGTGGATTGAAAATTTTGATTTTTTTGTTTTCAGCTGCTTGACTTAATCGCCAGTGGAAAACAATAATAAATAATAATTTCAAATTTTAGTGGATCTTCTGTAAGTAGCATGCATTATACAGATACGTCATAAGATTTATTTAATGAATTATTGTTTTTTTGTGGTGTTGATTTGACATCTTTTTTTTTTTTAATTCCAGATTCTTTCATGAGTGACATGTTCAAGTCTCCTGGAAGCCATGTGCAGTTAGAGGCTCTACCACCACTTGACTCTGGTACCCAGGAACTGTGTGCACTGACACTGAACTGCCTTTCTCACTACTTCAGCTGGATCCCGCTCTCTTCCTTTATAACCCCATCTCTACTGAGCACCATTTTCCACTTTGCTGGTTTCGGGTGCGAGACCCAGGGTGGACGTACCATGAACTCCGGTGCTAATTTCAACTCTTCTTCGTGCCATCTTGGAATTATTGCTATGAATTGCATCAATGAACTTTTATCGAAGAATTGCGTGCCGGCTGAGTTTGAGGACTATTTGTTACAGATGTTTCAGCAGACATTTTATCTACTACAGAAACTCACCAAGGATAGTAGCACATGTTCAAGTGGAAACAGACTCACAGAACTTGACGAGAAGTATGTTTATGCATTCTTCTATAATAGTGAAATTGATTGATATATTTTTAAGTTTTAAGTTTTTGGACACAAGCAGTGCATCTTTAGGCTGGTTCAATAGACTTCTAACTTTTACCTGTTTGAAACGGATGATTTGAAATTGATATACCATAAAGTTATCTTTGACTGTTCCATTTTTGAAGCAGGGTAAAGAACAAATTTTTCACAAATGTCTTGGGGCAAACTTTAGTTATGTAGGATTTATTGTACAATGTATTTGATTAAATGTTTTTCTTATTTCCAAGAATAATACATGTAAAATAAACCTTAAATGACATTAATATTTTATTATTTACAGTTATGTAGAAAAGTTCACCGACTTCCTTAGGTTGTTTGTGAGCATACATCTAAGAAGATTTGAATCAAGTACACAGTTTCCTGTCATAGAATTTCTGGCACTTCTCTTTAAATACACCTTTAGACAGGTAAATTCTACTAAATACTACAATACATTTCCTTTGTTATTTATTATATCAACTGATGAAAGCTTATTAAAGGAAAACATGTTTTGATGAAAACCTTTTTATCCTAGCTAAATACATAATTAAAGCAGCTCTCTAATTTTCATGAAAATTTTGAAAATATATTTAAAAAAAAATTAGTTATGTGAACAAAGGAAGTCATTTACTTAGTGCAAAAGGCACTTGTAGTCCACTTACATTGCCAAAAAGAGGTCAGAATATTGACATATAGCAGCACAATTACTACATTGGTATGTTAAACAGAAAAAAAATAGGTTTTACATTGACTTGAAACTTAAAAATTCAGCCTGTCTTGGAGTTTAAAATCATTGGTCAGTATAGTTAAAGGTAATATTCATTTGAAAAACTTCTGCATGCATATCTTCCAGGACATAATTGTAAGTCACTTAATTGGAGTCAAAATTAAGGCATGGATTTTCACTCAGTTGTTTCCCTTTGTTAATAATGAAGATTCTTGTCTGGCTTATTTTACTTTGAATCATTTATAATAGGCGAGAGTGATGTGAATCTAACTGTTATTGTTTATTATTTCAGCCATCTAATGAAGGGTTTTACAACTGTTTAGATATATGGACAACTTTTCTAGACTATCTACTGACCAGGTCAAAGGGTAGACAGAGTGAACTTCAGGCCATTGTTGTTAGGTAAAGTTATTTTTTGTGAAATGCCCTGTTATAATAAATATGTTTATTTATTGCCAGGTTTTAGCTGAACACCCCCAAATGAGCCAAAATATTTTAAGAAAATCAAACTTTTGAAAAAGGTACTAAGATTTTAAGACAAATAGATTCAAGTAATAATTTATTACATGTCATGTGTGAGTTATGTGAAAATCTGGAGGCATGCTGCTTTTAAGCATTTGAGATACATTTGTTATATCCTTTAGAAAGTCATTGTATACATGGGTACAAGTTTTCCAGCATGTGTCAGAAGTCAAGGTCTTTTATACTTGAAAGCACACATTCTATATTAGCCAATTAAAATCATGCTGAATTCAGGGATTTCTGATGTTTTTAACTTGCAAACATGTGTAGATGTTTCAGGTTTTGTTTGTTTTTTATCTTATATATAAATCAAGCTATTCTATTTCTTAGATATAAAGAAGCTTTAACGTCCCTGGTACGACATATTCTACAGAAGCTACAGTTTAAATACAATCAGTCACAACTAGAGGAACTTGATGACGAGACACTTGACTATGATGTAAGTTGTAATTGTAATAACCTGGTAGTAATTTTCTGTAGTTGTTATAACCTGTAATTATAATAACCTGGTAGTAATTATCCGTAATAGAAATAATCTGGTAGTAATTATCTGTAATTGTAATAGCCTTGTAGAAATTATCCGTAATTGTAATAATCTGGTAGTTATTATCGTAATTGTAATAACCTTGTAGTAATTATCCATAATTGTAATAATCTGGTAGTAATTATCTGTAATTGTAATAACCTTGTAGTAATTTTCTGTAATTGTAAAAATCTGTTAGTAATTATCTTTTATCACATAAACCATTGCGTTTAATAATTCCATTTTATAAAAACAATATTACACTAGTGTAATAACACTTTGACATGACATCATTTGTATTATTAATAGAATATTATATTTGCGTAGATTCAATACTAATTTTATTAAACTCGTTGAATAAAACAATATTATGCTTGCCAGAGGCTCACATGATATGATTTTATTCAGCTTGTTTAATGAATTCAGTATTAAACCTACACTCATTCAATATCCTCTATTTATCTGTTGCCCATGTTGGCTAAGGGTTTGTATGCTATGAGGGACATTGAAGTATTTTATCTTGTAAATATAGCTTAAACAAGGTCTTCAGTTTTATTCAGGTGTCACCCTGTGTCTTAATTAAATATTACTAATGTGCATTAGAGTTACTAAAGTCTTCCCATACAAGAAAACCTGGAAAATTTCCATATAAAATCTTTGTATACCAGGAATCTGGAAAATTGCTATTATAAAGCTTGAGGGAATGTCTGATGATGTAATTTTAGACTGGGGTGTGGGGGTGGCAAATGTCCCTGATTCATTAGTATTGGGACATTTCTAAAAATATATTTTTCTTACTTTCAGGAGGAAACAGAGTGGCAGCATTTTCTACGACAATGTCTGGAGTTGATTGCTCGAGTTGCAGAAATACTGACAGCCGAGACCTTCCAGATACTGGTAAATAGATATACTTAAACTTGTAACTTAAAACAAACATTAATTTAACACAGCACTGTTGTGACTATATAAAGTTTAAAGATGAGAAGATACACTGTGATTGAAGAATTTTTAGTTCAAATATTTGGAGTATAGGGAGAGCTATTGTTCTTACGAAGGCATCGGCATGGGTGTCATGCTTTGGTTGAGTTTTTGCGTGCATGTTGGCATCTCCACAATTACTGATGGGAAGGGGTTGAAACTATATGCCCTTTTTTGTAAGCATAAAAAAAGGTCACTGTCCAAGGTCTATAACTCTAACAAAACATTTTGGCAAAATTATAGACCTATCTGAAGGTAGAAAATTGTACATTATCAAGGCTCTTGTTTTATCAAGCACTGAGAATAGTCAAGCACACTTTTCTTCTGACAGTTCTTATGTTTTTAAAAGTATTTCAGTTTCGAAAAAGTTATTTATAAGAACAAATATTTATCTCACACCCCTTCTGCTGTTACAGCTTGGTAAAAATGGTATTGCACGGCGTGCATATATTCTGATGTGACGTCATTTTCGTTATACAAGCATAGGGTTAAGACACGCTGAATGTTAGTGTTATACTTTAGGCATGTCAACGAAAAATGGTTCTTTTTCACTTCAAGTGGTCTTTATTTTTGGTATATGATAAAAAGATTATTAAATTCGAATAAGTTAAATAATAAATTTATTGAACTTGTTGAATGAAATAATATATAATGCTCGCCAGAGGCTCGCATATGATTATTTTATCACTTTGTTCAATAAATTCAATATCAAACTTACACTCATTCAATATCCTCTTTATCAACAACAAACAGTTTTTGTGTCTCCTGTATGATAATAGAAAATGACTTATTCAATCACATTGTTACAGTCAACTTCAATGATAATGTAATATATGAATACTTTTCCATTCAGTTTTGTATACTTTTTCAGTATGAACCATTTCAAGAAGTGATGGAAATATATTTTGGTTTAGAGAGACATATCCAATCTACAAACTCCAAACGTAGTTTAAATATACGAGGGGAGAATGACTGTAGACGTCTGCACTGTTCTTTAAGAGATCTTTCATCCCTATTACAAGGGCTTGGCAGATTAGCTGATCATTTTATAGCTGAAAAATTTGCTGAAAGATTTGCAGATGGTCAAGTGTTAATGGAAAGGTAAGTATCATTGAAGATTCATAAAAAAAAATTTTTTTTCATATTTTTTTTTTGTCTTATGGCCCTGTTTTTGTCTTATGGCCCTCACAATTTGTCATAGCACCTTCATTTATTCACCCATACTGTGAATTCACTTAATTTTGTGGGCATAAAAGAACATTTGCATGGGATCTTAATTTCATGGACTGTCTGTATTTCCAAAAGGTAACTTGTAAAAAATGTGATACAAAATAATCTTACAGCAGACAAAATGAAGTTTTATTGGATCTTAAATTCAGGGATTGATATATCCACGAAAATATATGCCTCACAAATAATAATGATTTTGCAGTATCTAAGATATATATTCAAAATGTTTGTCCCTTTCATAGATCATTAAAAATGTTTGTCCCTTTCATAGATCGCTTTGTTTGTGGTTTTAGGTAAATTGTGTCAATGTAAAGATTGCTAAGGCTAGAAAAGATGTCTTTATACTAGTATCTAAGTTCACTTTGTTAACAATTTTGTTAAGTTCACCGGCTTATGTCAATAGGGAGAGCAACAGAGTTGTAGTCTAGCAGTTGTTGGTTTAATCCTCATGCCAGACAGAACTTCTCTGTGACAACTTACATTAAACATTGAGTCTAAAGGTCATTTATCTCTTACTGCTGATGTAAAAATAATGTGGGATAAGTACAATTTTTTATCATATATTTCTTGAATGTTATATTTCAGATTAATACATATGGTTGTGTATGGTAGTAGAGTAAAACTGTTTGAACTGACGTCCACAGAGCAAAGTGTTTTACAAACAGATCTGATAGAAGTGTAAGATAAACAATATTTATTACTTTTTGTTTGCTGGTGAGAATTTAATCAAGGATGGGCACTCAATTTCTATTCTTTTACCATCTTCTCTTTAATTATCTTTTATCTTTAGTCTTAAATTATCTTGGGAAAACAATTTGTTCTGCAGAATTTGATAAATTACTCATTATTCTTAAGATTATTTACAGTTAAACTTCTCTATTAAGACCAACCAGAAATGAAAATAAAATTGTCCTCTTTTGAAGATTACCTTGAGCAACTTACGATTTCAGCACATTTTAAATCATTTATTTACATTTATCTACATGTGATTTTTATTAAGAGATGTTTATAACACAGATTTCACTGTATTTGTTATAATTAGGTCAGAGATACGCAAGACATCCAGATAAGATATACATGTAAAAAAGTATTGCAAACAGTTTACACTTTTCACTGTGCAAACCCTATCATTGATGAAGATCATTTGAATGAAAGTACATTTAAAATACTGCCAAAATACAAATTTTAACCTCTCCCCACACCCAAATACATTTCAGATTTATGCTTAAATTTCATTTCTTGTTAACATGCATACTTATATAATCCTGGATATATGTCTTTTAATCATAATTACATATTACAGGCATGCTCAAGCGTTAGCGGCAATCAAACCATTTGCTCATTGGCTGTCACAGTTCTACGCTGAGTCACAGAATTATCCTGATCAGAGGAAGAAGTTTACTGACATGGTTACAACATTACTGGACGCCATCACTGGTCTGTTTGAGGAACAGGTAGATAGAATTAACAGATATATTAACCCTTGACCCACTTTTTAAATTTGTGTAATAGATTTGCCCAGCTTTGAATTTGGAACAGTCCATTTGAATTTTTAAGGGATTTTGATATCAAAATACACATTTAACTACCAACATGATAGGGCCTGGACAAATTGCATAAAAAAGTACAGGCTTGTCTGGTTCTATACTGGTGACAAGTGTTAGGATGAACACTTATTTCATATTTGTGTAAAACACATTGTTCATGATTCACAATAGTGTTGCTTTTGTTAAAGATTGTTGACTTACATGAAAAATTAATAATAAAGGATATTAGTAATTGTTTGTTAAAGAATAAAATGATTTTTTTGTATTTTCCAGATACCTGACAAGATCTCGCGTTCAGCTGCCCACTTGTTACTATCATTAGTGACCACTGTAAGACCTAACTTCTTGCTACAAATTACGTGTGTCCAAGAACTCTACAATAAAGCAAGTCAAGGTGCATTTAGGAAAGTTAATATAGAGGTATGATCACTTATATTATGCAATATTAATGCCTGTAATAATCTAACCTAATCAGATAGTTTAATAACATTATAAGACAGAGTGTTTTACAGAATTAAGACAAGAATATGGTAAAGTGACTTTTTGGTCACTTTTTATAGTTCCCTTACATCTTGTCTTCATTTCTCAACTGCAGTAAATTTTGTCTAAAGGTGTGCCTTTTTGGGTGGGTGGGGAAAGTTCAAAACCAAAACAACAACAAGCAGCTTAGAGTAGGTGACAAAAGTTTGAGTAAACTACAAGTAGGCGATGAAATTATTTGCTCATGGTTAGGTGATTACTAGGGATGTCATCTGGACCCGAAATGGCCATCAGGATATCATGATTACTACAATTGTAGATGACTGACAAATCATTTAGTCTCATATGCAGATATTTTACTTCAGTTAGTATGAAACAAAAATTGTTTAATATATTTAATATAATCTAAATACGTAGGCACTAGATAAATAGGGCTCTTTGTCTTTTCTGACTTTTAAGTAAAAATCAAGTCATTCTTTTAACTGAATTGCACATATTTTTGTCAGGTACAACTTCTGTTGTACAGAGCCCTCAGTCTTCACTTGTTACTACCATGGAACAATATTCCTGATTCTGAACAAGATTGGAGTAACCGAGCCAGCAATCATGAGAGTTTCTGCCACCAGATGGCAGCACCATATTTCCAATTAAAAGACACTTCGTCACTGATAAACAACAAAACTGCCCAGGATGCAGGTAAATGATTTTTTTAAGTTGGATATAGTTAATTACCTTACACCTTATGAAATCAAATGTAGCTAATAAACTTCCAGATTTTGCACATGATTATGCAATGTATTTCATTATTGGATCCAATCTTATCAATTTAGCCTCTTTTTCATTTTCCAGTCCAAAAATCCATATTAAAATTACAGTTGTACTCAATTAAGAATCGTTTCATGTTGCAAGTCCAGAAAATCCATATCAAATCCATATTGAACTCCAAGTACCTCATCCAATAGAGGTTTGAATTCAGTATTGTACTCAACAAGGTATGAAAACCTGATAGGGTTAAAGGTTATTCAATAATGTTTTATGATTTATTCAGACCATAAATTACTTAGATGGAATATGATGGTACAATAGATTTAGTCTTTTTTTATTATCCACCCAGCCATAATATCACTTGTATTTCATTAAATTAGGAACATTTCATTTATTTACTTATTGTTTTGTATTAAAAATAAGGAAAAAGAATATGAATCAGTTGCAAGCCTTGATACTATGATGTGTATGAAAATGAATTAGTTATATTGTTTCACTGATTCACTGTTTATCTGTCATAATAATGTGTTTTTCAGCCAAGTTGGTGATAAGTAACAGTTTAAAGCTGATGGTAGACTGGGTCGAATGTGTGTCAGGAGAGGTGGTAAAAACAAAACAGATTTGTTACCAGTCTATGTCAGAGATTGTGAACATCAGTCTGGCAGTATTTCCGGTCTTCATTCATCAACCTGGTAAGATTACAGTGTTATGTTAGATGAAATAGAATTTATATTGTGTTGGAATTATAAGCTTATGGACACACTCTCGAATAATCTGTTCCAGGAAGCAACTGGTACTAAGCAATGAGGGTAAGTTTCTACTTCAAGGAAACAACAGCTTCCTCCTGATGGGGTTTGAACCCACATGGGGACCAGCATTCTTATGATAACTTGTTACAGTATTAATTCTAGCAGATTTTGTTTCCAGTCTGTTGGGTCTTAAAAAAATTCACAGAGTTCAAAGGTTATGAAAAGGCATGAATCATATTGTATGATGTATGGTAAATATCTACAGTAAACTTCACTTATAGCGAACACGGTTATAGCGAACTTCCGGTTATAAGGAACAATTTATTTTGGCCCGAATTTTGCCCTTCTTTATTTCATATAAAAATATACGGTTATAGCGAACACGGTTATAAGGAATTATCGCTTATAAGGAACTCATTTCTTAGTCCCAATTTAGTTAAAAGTGCATAAAATTACACTTTTATAACGAACTACAAATATCGTCTATTCGTAAATATATCCCGCATTTTCAACTTTCGTTTTCATTTGCACGGAATAAAACTCGCGGAATGTACCGTTTATTGTTGTATGTAATTCAATATATGAAAATGAATTTGTATAGAAGTATGTAATAGTTTTCTATTTAGAATATTTTTAGCTTGAGTTCTTGTCACAAAAATAAAACGGTAATTCCTTTTATTCTATAATTTCTTTTCTTTAATAGTTTGCTCGAGTAAAATAATTATCGGTTTTCAACATAATCACGCATGCTTGCAAACATAATCCATAGAAAACTACAAAGTATGCTTGATTGAAATGAAAAGAAATCTATATATTATTAGTTAAAGTCACCCTTAAAATATAATAGAAGATATTCAATATAAAAGGAAGAAAAATGGAAAATCTTGTTTATTCTTATTCATTGAAAGAAAACGAAAAGCACAGTGCAGTGAGTTAAGAAACAAAATATGATGTTTATGAAAAATTGAGAAAGGGAGTAAAACTAAAACTGAAATAGCAAAGGATTTTCAAATTCCAAAATGTACGCTCTCGGGTATTGTGTCTAAAAAAGAAATAAATGATTAATTATTCTTAATCAAATGCTCTTAAAAATGGCGGACGATGTTTAACAATCAGTTCGTTATATGTAAATCTGTTCGCTATAAAAACTCCTGATACAAGGAACTAATTCGCTATATGCTTACAAGGAACTCCGGATATAAGGAACAGATTTTGAATGTCCCAATGAGTTCGTTATAAGCGGAGTTTACTGTATTGGTTAAAGTGTTTAAAATTGATTTGGCTTAAATAAGATTACTACACAAGACAGGAAATATAAATTTCAGAGCCACAGATGTCAAGGTCATGCAGAGGTCAAATGTCAACATATGTGTTCAACATCTGGCCCAGGGGGGTGTTGGAAAATGTTTATGCATGACTGGTCCATTATTGTTAAATCCTAGTTTTTTCCAGATATTAAACAGCAACTAAGACAAGAAACATGATGCTTTCACATTTCATTACCTTTTCACAAGGCAATATACATAATCTAATTTCATGCACATGTCTTTATTGTACAATGTATATCTGTGTAACATGTGTGCATATTTGTGCAATAACTCCAGTATACTTTTGCATTACACATAAGAATAAGTTTCTCTCTCCACAGAAGATTTTTTTGCTGAAATTTTGCTGATTTAGTGTTGAGATGAGAAAATTTCCTGATACTTTTAAAGAAATATTTCCATTATTTGACCGACACTGATTAAATGAAATAACCTATAAAATGCTGTAAAAAATCAGTGGTCATATGAAAATGTCCATTTTTATCTTAACAATTTGAAGTACTAAATACAAGTTGAAAAAAATAGGATCTAGTGGGGTTTTATGCTGCAGTTTGAGCATGAAAGCTGATTGTGTGACAGATAAACTTAAACTGACTTAAATGGTGATTAATATACCTTCAAATGCAATTCTTTACGACCTTTGTTCCCTGTGAGTTAAAATTTAACATTAAATGTTGTGGAGTGGTTAAGGTTGCTGACTTCAAATCACCTGCCACTGACCAATGTGGGTTTGATTCCTATCAGGATCAACATTGGACATTTATCCAGCATTTTTACTGAACGTTGATGGTTCTACTCAGGTGCGTGTTCTTTCATGTAATAATGCACAGACAGGGTCAACCAAGGTCTTTCTCCAACTTCATTGCTGTTCAGTAAATAGATACAAAACTTGTTCTTTCAGATGTGGTAGAAGAATTGATGACATTTTTCCTGGCCTTGTTTCAATCATGTAGAGTACAGATGGGAGTCCCTTTTACAGAACATGCCATTCAGACATTCATGGGACTTTTCAGCAAGTATGACAATTTCAAAAGTTTACAATAATATTTGCTTGCATGATTTTGTCAGTTTGTGGGAGGTCAGTGCTTCTGTTAAGTTTAAAGGCTGACACTTGTGAGTATACAAGTGCCATTATAAATAAGCCTTGATTAAACACAAAAATAGTAATCGTGTGGGTAAGTGGTATGGTATATACTTGCAATTTACATCTGCAGATTTAAACCCAAATTGAGGGGTGGGGGAATTAATGACATTTATATGGTGAAGTAAACAGAAGGTCTGTGCTTCTACCAAAGATGCTTAATCATTAAATAAACAAATACCAGGGGCAAATAGGGGTATTTTTATGATGTGACTATAAAAGTTTCATGATTATGTTAATCTGATATATTGTAAAGAAGAAATCTATTTTAGCTCACTTTATAAATGTTGAAATACGTTTTTATAACTTAAAAAGGGAGATAATTATGCTTGTTTATTGTATAAACATATAATTACAATATTTGGGAATAATTTGTATATTCAGAGAGCAGTTAGCAGAAACCATAAGGCATGAAAGCAGTGCTGCACATCGAGTGATAGAAAAGTAAGTTAAAATAGCGCCGTATGTAGACATTCTAAACAATATCTCCATAAGATACTATACCGATTTATGCATATTTGTAACACATTAAGTTTTGTGATTGAATCCATATATCAAATTATTAATTGAACAGATTTTATTAGAATTATTAATCATATATTTTGTTTTTACTTGAAGTCTGATGAAATAATGTGTGTCAGAAAAACCATTTGGCATGTAAATTATGATGTTTAGAATTATTGTGGGTGTTAGCTTAAGGATCCTCAGTGGTTCTACTCAGGTGCCCGTTTATGCCTGAAATAATGCACAGGAGGGCACTTGAGGTCTTCCTCCATCAGTGAAGCTGGAAAGCCGATTTATGACCTAAACTGTGTTAGGAGGACATAAAACCCAAGCAAACAAAAAGTAGTGAAACAACAAGAACATAAGCTGTTGTTGTTTTTATTTTTTACAAGGGTGCATCATAAACGCCACAATGTACAGGGTGACACATTTAATTTTCAGTTGAAACACTTGTGTTAAGTCATATTTATATGCCCTAAAAAATTTCGGGCATATAATGTTATACCCACTGGCGTCCGTCCGTCCGTCTGTCTGTCCGGGCTTTTTAAGAGAAGTAGGGGACCATCTAACTGTAAACAGAACAAAAGAGAACAATAGAGTTCATTCCGTAACAATAGAAAAAGGGGCCATGGTCCTCTAGTAAACAAAAGAAAGTAACAAAAGAAATGGCCCCTTTAGTCCATTTAAGTGGCATGTCTGTCTGTTAGCAATTTAATTTCCGGAGCATAACTTAAGTTCCGTTTGGCCCACAAAATTCAAACTTCATAGGATGATTGTCCATATTGGGTAGAAGACCCCTATTGATTCTGGGGTCAAAAGGTCAAAGGTCAAGTTCACTATTACCTTAAAACTGAAAACAGTTTCTGGAGCATAACTTAAGTTCTGCTTGGCCCACAGTGTTCAAACTTCATAGGATGATTGTCCATATTGGGTAGAAGATCCCTATTGATTTTGGGGTCACAAGATGAAAGGTTAAGGTCACTATTACTTTAAAACTGACAACAGTTTCCGGAGCATAACTTAGGGTCTATTTCGCCCGCAATATTCAAACTTCATAGGATGATTGTCCATATTGGGTAGGAGACCCCTATTGATTTTGGGGTCACAAGGTCAAAGGTTAAGTTCACTATTACTTTAAAATTGAAAACAGTTTCCAGAACATAACTTAAGTTCTATTTGGCCCACAGTGTTCAAACTTCATAGGATGATTGTCCATATTGGGTAGAACAACCCTATTGATTTTGTGGTTACAAGGTCAAAGTTCAAGGTCGCTATTACCTCAAAACTGAAAACAGTTTCCAGAGCATAACTTAAGTTCCATTTGGCCCACAATATTCAAACTTCAAAGGAGGATTGCTATTTGAAGGAGGTAATACTTTATTTAATTCCCATCTCTTACAAATGCTTCATCCCTACCAAAAAAAAAAACCACTTTCAGGCATATAATGCTCCGCCCTTGTATGTCTATTTGTGTCTGAAATAATGCATAGAAGGACAGTAGAAGTCTTCCTCCACCAATAAAGCAATAAAATTACCACATGACCTTTTAAAGTATCAGGGACTTAAAACCTAGCTACGTTAATTCTTAATTAGAATTTTTTCTCCATTTTTATGTAAAATAGCAAAGTAAGATTAAGTTTTTACGTTATTTTTGCCAGGTATAGTACAGTTTAGCTATTATTATTATTATTAGCCATCTTAACTGTAGTTGTTTCATTATAGATTTTTGAAGATTCTACAGATTATTATACAAGAACCTGGTTCATCATTCAAAAGATTTCTACCCAGTATTATAGATATATGTATGGAACATATATATCCTGTTATAGCTCAGGTAGTAATTTATTCTATGTAGCATTTTAGCTATATTGAACATGTATGTCCTGTTACAGTACAGATGACAAATTTTACAAAGTATTATAGATAATCATATGCATGGAACATATAGATGTATGGAACATATATAATAAATCAATGTTATTTATGTTACATGTATCATAAAAACTTTTCTATATTTGTTTGTTTGTTACCAATTAATGTTAAACCTCTCTTTTTGGAGACCAATGCATTCATTTCCTTTCAAACCAAGTGGCAGAATTTTTGGGACCATAAAAAAAGTAAATGCATTGACATGGATTGTAGAAGCTTAAAGAGAATCTCCTTAAGGATTGATGTGTTAATTAGGATAATAAATAATTAATAATGCCTGACCTCTGTTGCTATAGAAAATCAAACCACCTAAAAATTTCAGTAATCAGAATGTATTTTATTTTTCAGCGTTCCTCTCCAGATATGAAACAAGTGTTGTATGAATTACTGCATGAATTTCTCCTTAGTAACTGGAAATATTTCTTCAAGGGGTCTGTGTTAACATCTTTTAGAAGCAAAGTGGAAACTGTGGAGAATGAAGCACAGTTTTCAGCTATCATGCAGGTTAGAATGTCTGCCACGATTTCATGATTAATCCTAGCAAACTGTTGCTCTATAAGTGTTAAAAAATTATAAGTATTACTTTGTATGATTAAGTGTGGCATGGCCAAGTGGATAACGTGTCAGACTTATAATATAAGGTGTGCTAGCCACGTGGGTTCAAACCCAAACAGGTTCAAGTTGTTGTTTCCGTGAGCAAGAAACTATACACTCATTGCTTAGTACTGGTTGGTTCCAGGAATGAATTTATTGCTTCCAACACAATCAAACTAAAACAAATTAGTATAAACTCTATTATATAATTGATAAATAGATTTGTCCAGATTTAAAAGATGAACTTGACCATTTAATATATTTAGTGTAACAAGGGTTAGATAAGCAATTATAATGTTTCCACATGTCTGTGATATATATACGTCTGACCATGCATAGTTTTAACCATACATCTTTCAGTTGAATATTTTCTACAAAGATTACAGTGATGTACCTATCTATTATTTCAGGCATATGGTCAGTCATTTTTACAAACAGATATTGCTGTCTTCAGACAGAATCTCGAGTCTTTAGAGAAACTGAATACTAAATGGAGACTTTATAAAAAGGTAGATATATAAAATTTTACATGTGTATTAATATTTGTTCATCAAAAAGGTAGAAATAAGGATATTTGTATAAATTTTGTTCATCAGCATCATAACTTCACTTGAATAACCAGCCCACCCCCCCCCCCCACACACACACCATCTTTTCATCATAAGAATTAAAATAACTTAATAGGTAAAGGATATTAATTCTGAGTTACCTTTTTCAGATAGTTGTCAAAGACTTCATCACTTTACAACTAAAATTTATTATTTATCTTTTGCTAGTAGAAAGAGATAATCTTTTAAGGTATGTTGAACTACATTGAGAGAAAAAGTATAATTTTCATGATATCAGTGTGTTTATTGACATCTCGTCTGACATCATTTGGGAATGTAGATATTGCTTGCTGTATTCTGTGGTTTATTGTGTTTGAGTACTCCCACGTATGTTTAAATGGCAATAATGAGAAGTGTTTTAGAATAAGTAACCACCAACAGACAAAGAGACATTTTTTTCAACCTTTTAGTTTTGTTTGCTTTCTATCCCCTAACCTCTTTGGGAGATCAGCATGTACATTTGTGCTGTCCAAATTTCCTGGAAATTGGTCAGAAAGATTGTTATGATGATTTAAAGGTCAAGTTTGTATATGGGTCACCTGGGATCAAATACTAGGTCACACAGTTCAAATATGGAAAGACCTTGTTAACACTCTTGGGGATTTTGTTCCAAACCAAATATCCTGGAAATTGGTCAGAAAGGTTGTTTTTATGATTTCTAGGTTTAGTTAGAATATGGCTCACCTGGGGTAAAAAATTAAGTCATACAGCCCATTTATGGAAAAACCTTGTTAACACTCTTGAGGCTGTTGTTTTGATCCAATTATCACGGAAACTGGTCAGAAAGGTTGTTATGATGATTACTAGGTCAAGTTCAAATATGGATCACTTTGGGTTAAAAACTAGGTCACACAGCCTAAATATGAACAAATACTTTGATAACACTCTAAAGGGATACTGTTTTAGTCCAAATATTCTTATAATTGGGTTTCAGCCTACATAATAAGGTGAGCTATATAAGGGTCACTATGGCCCTCTTGTTTGATAAAAGAGTGGAAGTAGAGGCATCTGTGTCCTATAGACAAATTTCTAATTAAACATGACTTTACCCCATGCACATCATAAAGGAAAACAGAATCAAATTAATGTACAGGCTGCTTTAACTTATAAGCAACACCACTGAATTTTTTGTCATTTTTAACATATTGGCAATGGCTTATTGTCCAGGCAAAAAAAAAGAAGTAGTGCATCTGGAAATGTTATCATACATGTAAAATATAATTATGAATATTTCAGCCTATATTTTACACGGGGATGCTGTCACAGTTCATGAACGTTCTACTTCAAGTGTTAGTACACAAGTCACATGACCTACTACAGGAAGAGATTGTTGTGACCATATATAACATGGCCTCTGTAGACTTTGACAGATTCTATTCAGAATTCTTACCACATTTCCTCACAGGATGTGATGGCCTAGATAACGGACAGAAACATATGCTAGGGCAAAACTTCAAAGTGGAAAAGGTATATAACTTTTTTTGATGTCATACTAGATGATAACTAATTTAACTGAAACAATTTCAATACCTTGACTCTTCAAAGAATATGGAGTGCTATTGTACTCTCAGGAATTTGCGTTGGCTTTGGCATCACACTTTGCTTAAGTGTTTTTGCCTGCAAGTTAGTATCTCAAACACTACTGAGGGAAATGAGTTAGATAAGTTATAATAAGACATCTCTGAATAGTAAGTGTTAGGCTAGGTAAAATCACCCTTAATTTGTACACTTGACTTTTTTTCTGTTAAAACTATAAGTCTTTTGTAAACATGAACACAAATCTGGAGGCATGCTTGTTATTTCATTGATTTTGAATGTGTACCTAGGCAGTCTGTGGCTGATTGAATAAGGTCATTGACTTTAAACCACTTGCACGTCACCATGGTTGGTTCAAATCCCTCTAGGGCTATCCAGGTAGCTTATGAAATGTTGGTGGTTCTAGTTCTATTCGGGGGGGGGGGGGGGGGGGGTGGGGAGGTGCCCATTTGTGCCTGAATTAATGCATAGAGTGGCACATGAGGTCTTTCCTCCACCCTTAGAGCTACAAAGTTGTCACATGACCTTTACAGTCAATGTTGGTGCGGCATTACACCCGACCAAAATACATACATGAATTTCTTGCTCATACATGTATGTGGCAATATGTACTAAGGTATAAAAAAAATGAGACAGCAATCGTATATCCAAAATATCTGTTATATTGTCACCTTAGTGCAGTAACACTCCTAACTACTTTAGAAGGACTTAACCAGTTACTGCAAAAAGGTGTAGATATGTTTATGTACAGGGCATATTACATATTTTGCACTGTATCAGTATGTTTACATACTTTATAATTAGATTTTGTTGCATAATTTCAAGTGTTATCGTTTAAAATTTATTAATATTAATTCCTTAATATTTTTGTTTGTGATTTCAGGATCTGCCAACATTTACACAGAATCTACAGAGATTTGTGAATGATCTGAGATACTACAGACTTATGAACACTAGCTTACCTGCGGGATCTGTGCAATTTTCATGATGTTCACTAGTTGTTAGTGTGTTTTATTTATGTTAAAAATCAATTGTTTCTGACAACAGTTAATTCCATCAGAGCAAGCAGCAATTTGAAACTGCCTAAGTTTTTCAGTAAAGAGTAAGGCCAGCTGGAACAACCATGCAGTCAAATTAGGATTTTTAATTTGTCTGCGTACAGTCTGAGGAGGGTCTGTATTCCTCCAATTGGGAGAATTTTTATAATTTCATCTTTAAATCCCTAGAATTCTAAATGGAATGTTCCATCTTCCAATTAGGACAAGTTCATGACACAAATTCAATAAAGTAAGGGTTCAGTCTACTTTTTGTGTAATCTCAGTTATTGACTAAGGTTTTGCATTGGAATTAAAAAAAGAATTTTGTAATGTTTATATTGGCCTCAGTAACAGTCACGTAATAGTTTTAAAGTAATTGTTTGGTGCTATGTCTAGTAATATCTTTATAATTATCAATGAGATTCTTATTGTATTGGTTTTTTGACACATTTATTGAATTTTTTTTCATTCTTGATTTGTAAATCTCAAATGTTTATTGGCTGATCACTATCCAGATACAGCTACTGCTACAATAAACTGTATGCTGGCTCCATCATCACCTCCTTAACTTCTTACATGTTCAAACCTTTTCTTGGCATTTAAGATTTTTGAAAAAGTAACTGTTCACAGACAGGATTTCCTTTTATTTAGAAATTCATATATTATCTGGGAAAAATCCCAAAACTTATTGAGGTATAAGGCTTGTTTTAGTAATTTTGAAATACATATTATAAAGAAAACTGTTAATTCACACATTAAGTGAAACTCTATGATTTTGTAAATTTAAGTGCCATTTTCAGAAAGTGCTAACCGTAAAATTGTTGAATAGATGTTATTTGTAACTTGGTAAATCTTGGTGTTTTTAGCTCACCTGTCACAAAGTGACAGGGTGAGCTTTTGTGATCGCTTTTCGTCCGCCGTCCGGCCGTCCGGCGTCCGTCCGTCCGTAAACTTTTACTTTAAATGACATCTCCTCATAAACCACTAAGCCAATTTCATCAAAACTTCACAGGAATGTTCCTTTGGTGGTCACCTTTATAAATTGTTCAAAGAATTTAATTCCATGCAGAACTCTGGTTGCCATGGCAACCGAAAGAAAAAACTTTAAATATCTTCTTTCAAAAAACCATAAGAGCTAGAGCTTAGATATTTGGCATGAAACATCTTCTAATGAGTGTCTACCAAGTTTGTTCAAATAAAAGCCCTAGGGTCAAAATTGGCCCCGCCCCAGGGGGTCATTGATTTTCCCTATATGCATATAGTAAAAACTTAAAAAATCTTCTTTTAAAGAACCCAAAGAACTAGAGCTAAGATATTTAGCATGAAACATGTTCTAATGGGTGTCTACCAAGTTTGTTCAAATAAAAAGCCCTGGGGTCAAAATTGCCCCGCCCCGGGGGTCATTGATTTTCCCCTATATGTATATAGTAAAAACTTAAAAAAATCTTCTTTTAAAGAACTCAAAAGAGCTATGACTAAGATATTGAGCATCAAACATGTTCTAATAGGTGTCTACCAAGTTTGTTCAAATAAAGCCCCTGGGGTTCAAAATTTGCCCCGCCCCCAGACGGGGTCATTGATTTTCCCTATATGCATATAGTAAAAATTTAAAAAAATCTTCTTCTTTAAAGAACCAAAAGAGTTTAGAGCTAAGATAATTTAGCATTAAACATGTTCTAATAAGTGTCTACCAAGTTTGTTCAAATAAAAGCCCTGGGGTCAAAAAGTTGACCCTGCCCCGGGGGGGTCATTGATTTTCCCTATATGCATTTAGTAAAAAACTTAAAAAATCTTCTTTTAAAGAACTCAAAGAGCTATGGCTAAAAGATATTTAGCATCAAACATGTTCTAATAGGTGTCTACCAAGTTTGTTTCAAATAAAAGCCCTGGGGTCAAAATTGGCACCGCCCCGGGGGTCATTTGTTTTCCTTATATGTGTATAGCAAAAAACTTAAAAAATCATTTTTGAAAAAACCCAAATAGCTAGAGGTTAAGGATATTAAGCATGAAACATCCTTTTAGTGAGTGTCTACAAAGTTTGTTCAAATAAAAGACCTGGGGTCAAAATTGGCCCCGCCCGGGGGGTCATTGATTTTTCTTTATATGTGTATAGCAAAAACTTAAAAAATCTTCTTTGAAAAAACCCAAATAGCTAGAGTTTAGATATTAAGCATGAAACATCTTCTAGTAAGTGGTCTACAAAAGTTTGTTCAAAAAAAGCCTTGGGGTCAAAACTTGGCCCGGCCCCAGAGGGTGTCATTGTTTTTTAACTATATGTGTATAGTAAAAACTTTAAAAAAATCTTCTTTTAAAAAGCCCAATGAGCTAGAGCTTAGATGTTTTTAGCATGAAAAACATCTTCTTATGGGTGTCTACCCTTGGTTTAAATTGGCCCTGAACGTGGGGGGGGGGGGTTGGGGGGGGGGGCGGGGCCTATATACAGGTGAGCACCTCAGGGCCCATCATGGCCCTCTTGTTTTTCCATCTAATCCCAGTGGTACAAACATACATTTACTCAATAGCTTTATGATGCAGTACAGAAAACAATAGAGATAATAAAAAAAAAAACGTCAATTTTTTCTGAAGAAGATTAAACGTCGAAAGCTTAAGAAAAGCGTTTGTTTTTATTGAACTGATTATATAAATAGAGATAACAACACATTGAACATTTGATGGTTGTAATTGTAAAAGTTTGTTCGTACCCCGGGACTAGACGGAAAAATCCACATTTTCCTGGGTCCCCAAGTATCTCTGTTCTATGTATTGTATTTAAGACTATAGAAACTTTACTATGTCAAGTTTTTATTTTTTGTGCACTGAATAAATTGTTGTTTTGTTGATAGAGATATTTTAAAAAATAGTCTCTAAAAAGCCATAAATTTTATTCTTATTATAATACATGTATTTTCGTGTTAAATTTGTTATGGTTTTGTGTTCACAAAGTGAAGCAGGGATTGTTGCAGGTTTCTTCATTTTTCTTTTGAACAAAAACATGAAATGAACAGAAATTTAGTTCAAGACTAGTAATGTCATGCAAGTAATACATTCAAAGAATATTTTTTAAGTTTCTAAAAAAATTTTAATGGTTCATATACATGTAGTTGCCAATTTGTCCCGGTGTCCATCTTGCCTTCCACAATTCAGTCATGTTTTGTTTTTTTTCCCAGATCAAAATTTTTAATGGATGGATCTCTACTATTGGTAATGGTCAAGTTATTTGTGTCAAGGTCAATGTAATTTTTGTCAAGGTCAATGTTACTTTTGTCAAGGTCAGTGTAAATTGGGTCAAATTTCAGTGTTTTTAAGGGAGAAAAAAAAAACAACAGATTTTTTATAAAAGTTTTCCCATTGAAAGGCTAGATAAAATGGAGCCTACATGATTTTCAATTTTGCAATTTTGGGTCTTCTTTAGGAATTTCGTTTCTCTTTATTTTGTCTTCAAAGTCTCCAGAAAGCAACAGCATTTTTGGAGTTTGATGCCAATATTCTTTTTTTTTTTAGATGACTTTTTTTAAAATTTAACAGAGTTTATTAAAATATATTGTTTTTGTTTGTTTTTTTGGTAATTTATTTTTTGTTTGGAATCTGTAATGTTGAGGAGGTAAAGGTATTTGAAAATTGAATTTTAGTTAGTAGAAAGAGACGGTATTAAATATAATAGATTAACAGTTCAAAAATATGGAAAGAATGTTGTAAGACTGTGTAAATAATGTTTTAGAAGTAGAACATGCACAATAAATCATTGGCATTTAGATTATCTCTGTGATATATTGTAAAGTGTCTTGTCTTAATTAAGCTTATGTGATTGTTGCACCAAGTGGTTTATTGCTGTCAGTTTTATATTTATAGATGGATAAACATGGTATTAAATATGAGTTAAGATTAAAAAAAAGAATGTTTTTGAAATACATGTACAGACAAAACTGTCTAGAAAGTTAGAAATATATAATTTGAGATATTATGAGGTCAGTATTTCTTGACAATAAATATTTTTGATCTGTTTTTGGTCAAAAATATTATAAAAAAGAATCTGTTCTTTAGATGTTGATATTCAGTTATGTTTTGTCAGTTTCTTTTGGCTTTTGTTGACAGTCATGCACATTTTAAAATATCACCACTTCAAAAACAACAACAGCATGGAGATTAAATTAAATGTAGTATTTACATTATCATTATTGCAAAGGAATGTATAAGTTTGACTTTGATATTACCCCTGTTATTATACACATGTATGGTAAACATTTCTTATAACAATTGTTAATGTCACAGGGTGAGAAGAATGTGCAGCCTGACGTGGACTCAAACCCGGGACCCATGGGATACGGTACCGTGGCTCTGTCCGGCCACTTACACACTTGCTCCCCTAATTATTGAACAGTTTAATACTGTGACATTGACATAAATATGTAAAAATCATTCTATCAGTGATAACTTTTTTTGCCATAACATTAATTTGTTGGGTACTGATACGGATTTTCATTTCTGAAATGTTATATAAATATGAAAAGTTTTCGTCAAAATTCATCATTTTCATTCTGATGATAACACAGATACGTGTATTTTGATTTTGATTGGCAACAGTTATATTCACATAAATGGCGGTTGTAGGTTTGAGCACTGTGGCGAATAGTTATTTCACTGTTGTGAATCGTTATTGTGGTGAAATATTATTGTGGCGAATCGTTACTAATTTGGTTGTACCACCTTATTTCGAAAAAGACAGGTTATAGGCTCTTAGGAAATGCATGATGGTTCATTTAAGATATGTACCAATATAAAAGGGACGTAGCTCACTTATACCAATATCAGATATTTTGTGTAACTTCTTCAGTAAATATTTTTATACTTATCACAATTTGTGGACATCATTGTTGTTTTAGTTGTGAAGGCATAATACTTGTTTTGTCTTTGTTCAGCATTCATGTTTTGTCAGACTATTTTTTTCCAAATGTAACATTTTCTATAATAAAAAATATGAAAATGATCAGTTTTTTGTTGTTTTCATATGCCTTGGTGTATATTGTAATGCACCTGGTTGTCCGTCCGTCTGTCATTTTGTGCAATTTTGTGTTTGGTCAGTATTTTTTGAAGGAAATTAAAACAGAAATGTAAACCATGATGAGACGATGTGAAGAGGGCAGGTTTGACCTTCCATAGGTCAAGGTCACATTAAGAAATTTTCTATGAATTTCTAAACTTCGTGTCCACTCTGTATCTTTTGAACCAATAGAAGGAAATTAAAACTTTTGGCAGAAATATAATGTGACGACATGCAGGACACTGGTTCGGGCTGTCCGTGTTGTCCTGAATAAGAAATAAATAAGTTAAGTAACTTTCCCTTATTCCATTTTTACCAGTGCTGAGTAAAAAGTATACTGTTAAGAGTGCACCAATGCATGCAATTTTTTTAATCCCGGTTCAGAACTCTTCACTAATTAGGAGAGGTGAAAAAAGTTGGGTTTTTTTTAGCCACACAAACGCTTGTCAGACGCAGTGACATGTGGCAGCGTTCACATTTTTCTTAAAAGTTGATCAATTAATTAAAAGAACGAATGATTGAATCATGCCAGAAGAAATTTTGTGGTAATATTTCACATTTTGATTAAAACCAATATGAATAATAAATACTGTTATTTTGGCATTATGTAAAAAATTGCAACGTTCCATTTCATTTCCACAACCAGAATATTTTAGTAAAATTGATAACACAGCCGATTTGATTACACTTTCAATATTTCTTAATGTGATTAAATGGGATACATTGTATTAAGTTTTGTAGTCACAATTTACAAAACAATCAGGCATATTATGCCTCAGAAACAAATGAATATTTCTTTAAAAAGGGCAAACATATTATCTATGATGGTTAATTTGGTACACTTTGCACGTTGCGTTGGCGATAGCGACAACACAACCTATATCGTTATCGCCTTTTAGTCTTGCCGTCCGGTCACTAGCGCCAAAAGGCGCGTTGTCGCACTGTCATCTTGTCGTCCTGTCGCTAGCGAAGCACGCCAAACCACGCTTGTCTTGCGACGCGTTTTCCCGATGTCGCCCTGTCATGTGGCTTATATATAAATAGCCAATACTTCGATTTGAGCCGAGAGACAATGTGACATCGCGACAACACGCCGCCCGACAACGCACCGGTTGGCGTGCATCGTTAGCGGCAGGATGACAAAACGCCGTTTGGCGCTTTCTCGTCCTGTCGCTAGCGACAACACGATGCACAAAACTGTTCCAAATCAGCCACCATAATAATCTGTTAAATATGATTTACATACCAATATGAAATTGTGAACATGTAAAAAAATATGTATAAATAACAAATTTTAAATAATCATACGATAATCTCTGCGAATTTCATATTTTGAGCATATGAAACTATGTACGAATAATTTCGAACATGTGAACATATGTACGAATTTCATATTTGAACATGTGAAAATAAGTACGAAATTCAATATGAAATTTTGAATATGTGAAAAAATGTACAAATGCTCTAAGTTTATACCATCAGAGGTTAGCCAAAATCGTCTGTCCTGTTTCGGCGACATATGACATTAATTGTGTTAGTACGCCGTTAAACCAACTAAACAAAAACAATTTCTGCATATAATTTTATTCTTAAAGCATGCATTCATTGCATGCATTGACTATATTTAGACATAGCCAATCCTTCCATTAAGACGAACGATAAGACACGGCCAGGTTAAAATCATTAAAAACTCATTTAGATAAATAAATCAAGGCTAATTGCAGACTGGTAAGACACTTTAATTTTGATTTTGCAAGACATTTTTATAACGACTGAACTGTATTTGAAATTAAAATTGAGGTACGTATTTATGCTACAATGGCTATAGATGTTTGCGTTTGTGTCTTGAAAGACGTGACGTGGTCAAGTACAGAATTTAAAAAAACATCAATTATGAACATGACTGGGGAAAAGATTAAATAAAAATCATAGTTCTCTTTATAAGAGGAACACAATTATACGAGGATTGGGGCGGTGGTTAAAAATATGTAACACCTCATTTCTGTAACTTAGTGTAACACAATGCATGGAAAAATATAGTATTTTTTCGTATGTAAATGATAGGTATATTCATTTATTTCTGTACGTTTGTTACTATACTTTGGTTATTTTACCTAATTAACGGTCCATTGTGTTGGTTATTTTAATTGCACCTAAAGCCTTGAACTTTAATAACTCAATTCGCATAAATCATGCGTTTCACTTAATATTTATGTTATTCGTAAACTTCTTTACAATCCATGCTTGAAATATTTCATACTTGTATGATATTATGCATGTACTACGTAAAACATGTTTTTTTTCTCTTTAATTGATGTATCATCTTCATAACTTGATTGTCATTGCTTAATCCGATTTGCGATTTCTTCACAGAATGCTTTATGAAATGTCAAGTTTTACTTTTGTACTTACAGAAGCCGTTTTCTGTCAGCATCTTCCTTTATGTTCTTATTTCGACAAAAAAAATGATGATTCCCATGATGTTGGTTTCGGTAAGACATTTTTATAACGTCAGCGAACATTATCATTCTCTAATCATCTTCTTATAATGGATTCTTTAGTCACCTTCTTATAAAACATATACACAAGACATTTTGAACTATATATCCTCTATTTTCACCAGAAGCATTTGCAATATTGAGAATAATTCAATATATATTTGGCAGAATTAATTATTCGTAGATTGTGAACTGTTGTAAGGTAATCATTGAAAATGGTTCTAGCAAGATTACAGTTGTAATTAAGAAATATACAAAACAATAATAAAAACACAAATAAAAGCTTTTAAACTTCAGGTCATACCAAAAGATATCATATCACCGGCATGTATTTGTATTGTCGATATCATGGTATGTTTCAATTTCTGTTACAGGCGCTACTCGTTCAGATGTTGTTCGTGTCGTGTCATTGTTTTGTCCTAGAGACTGATGCTACCGATTGCCCCGTAAACTGTAGTTGCGCAGACGACTTTATTTGTAGCAACAGATCATTACAAATGGTGCCATGGATTCCAAAAACTCGTCGTTGCAAAATAAGTCTGAATGATAATCACTTAACTAACATAGAAGCAGGAATATTTAAAAATCAAAGTACTAGCCAAGTTTGTAATTTAAATTTTGATAGCAACGAAATTCAGACAATAGCGGATGGAGCGTTTGATTGGATTAGGAATGCGTCGATCACTTTCTATTTAAGGCAAAATAATCTATCGTCTATCCCAAAGGCCTTCGAAAATCTTTCGCAGTTACGTGCTTTATACTTAAATGAAAACCCGTTGATGCATTTGAGTTCACAAACTATGATCAGTATTGGACGCTCATTGATGACCTTCACCTTTGATATGGGCTATTTTCAGTCTTGGCCACACGAGCTTCGGTATTTACGTTCGTTAGCCACCCTTAAGATAGGTTACATTCCATTTTACGTATTACCACAAAATGCTTTTCATGGTTTTGAAAGCACGCTAGTCAGTCTAGAGATTCACAACTCAAGGCTGGAAGAAATTCCACGTGCGTTATGCATATTCAACTCCTTACAATATTTAAACTTTTCATCAAATCATAACCTAAACAGAATGACTTCACAGGTTACCAGTCACTGCACACACAACAGCTTTCAGGTCTCATTTTTTTATTTTGATGATAATAACATGGAAATATTTCCAGACTTAAGTTTGTTTCATAACGTCTACAGTATGACTGCAAACAAAAATGGGTTTCTTGTCATGAATGGTGACTTTCTAACTTCTTTAAATTTCACGATTTACAGTCTTGATCTAAACAGAAACAATTTTACTCGAATACCATACGCGGTAAATGAATTCAGATCATTGGCGCAGTTGAACATGGCATACAACTCCATAACAAGTGTCGCGGAGCCCGACGTTTCGAAGCTTACCGATTTGAATGTCCTCGATCTGAAAGGCAACCCAATATTGTATATCTCCAAAGAGTCTTTCATCAACAATTTAAAACTAAATGTGTTAGATTTAAGCGAGACCAGACTGTCCCAAATACCCGTTGCCGTTATGACCCTTAGTAACCTTGTTCAGTTAGGCTTAGACAATACTCCCGTTGACTGTACGTGTGACCTGGCATATTTGAAGTCTTGGAATAAAACCAACACAATTTCTGACACATCCCACTGTTACCTATCGACAGAGAAAACCAGAGATTTTCTTGAACAGTCTCTGATACATTGCTAAGACAGAACCTAAACATTCTTTCTTAATTCCTGACAAATTTTCAGGCTTTAATCATATATTTTTGCCATTGCTATCACTGATGTTTTAAGCATATTTAGATAATACTGTAACAATTTTATATGTTCTGAACAGTTTGTTTGTGAAATATACTGTTATGGATTAATATTATTAAACGATTCTTTGAGATAGATACTGCTATGGATTAATATTTAATGAACGGTACTTCTTTGATATATACGTGTATACAGTACTGTTAGTGACTTATATTACAGAACGATTGTTTGAAAAGTTATGGATTTATATTAATGAACGATTCTTTGTTAAACATTCTTTTATGGATTAATATTTATAGTAATAAATAAATGGAAGATTCTTTGTGAAATGTACTGTTGTGGAGAAATATTAATGAACGATCCTATGTGAAATATAGTCGTATGCATCAATAATTATGAAGGATACATAGTAAAATGAAAATAACAAGTTATGAATTATTAATATCATTGAACGATTCTTTGTTGGAAAAATACTTATATGAACGATTCTTATCAACGATTCGTTGAGAAATAAACATGTGTTGAGGAATTTGATGCACGATACATTGTATACTGTATTGTATAATTTATCATGAACTTTTTAAATGTTTTATGATGTTCGTATAGAAACACTTTAATACATGTAATATATGCTTATACCACATGATAGACTGTTTGGTTGATATTAATTATATCTATAGATTGATTGTTGGTGCCTAGAAAAGATCGTTTCACAAATAGGTGTTTACCTTATACCAATTAAAGAAACTTAAACTCAAACACCGTCTTGTTTTGATTTTGTTCACAGACAGTCGTGCTTTTAGACATTCCTCATGTCACGACGCATTCTCCATAGCACCGGCTCTGGCAGTACTAATATACTAGTATACAAACAGTTTGATATGATCCATATTTAGCTACTCCTGTGTGCATCATTTGAAGTTACATTCTTGACATAGACTTTTAATATGAACAGTGTTGGACATATGTTGCTTCTATAGTAGTACAACAGACCTGAGCTTATGAACATAATGCTTATTATCAGGCTATCAACCACTTGTCCCTTACCGCTGTGGGTTTGAATCCCGACAGGGACTTTAGAATCTATCATGTGAGGAAGCCATCCAACCTAGCTTACGGCGCATCGGTGGTTCTACTCAGGTGCCCGTTCGTGTCTGAAATAATTAACGGAAGGGCACATGAGGTCTTCATCCACCAGTAAAGCTCGGAAGTCACCATATGACCTATACTGTGATAGTGCGACGTAAAACTCAACACTTAAACAACAACAAATTGGTGTGTTCACCATACGCTGGAACACATAACACGTACAAACCCAAAATTATATCATGCAAGAGTGTTTGTTTATTTAATGCAAGTTTTTAACATTTTGAAGATAAACTTTCACCTATCACTTTTTCCCGGTTCATTCATTTCTACCTAGGTAGCCAATTTTAATATTTTTTACATTAATTAAATTTTTAAATGAATATTCACCTAAATAACCAATTCTAAAATATAACTTTCACCCATATTGACGGTTTTAATTTTTGTGAAATTTAACCAGATAATTGCTTCTTCGGTATTGAATTTATATGAAGATAAATTCAATATACACATTACATGAAATCTATTCAAATAGGTTCTGCATCGTATAATTATCTTAACATATATTTAAAATTAATACATAGGTATAAATGCAAAATAGGTATCTCATTATAATATAAAGTGTACACATTTATATCTTAAATAATGTATGATTTGTAATGCTATATCCTAATTATACGCCCTATATTTCATTTCCATACACTGTACAATATACATACATATTGGACTGTAATCAAGCTACCAGAGCTACAGAGCCAGGCTAGCCTAAACATATGTGTAGTTTGACTACAGGCTCAATACTGGTCACTGTAAAGTGGTAAGTCTTTAGCACCTGTCCAGAATAGAGCCATACGGTGCAGTTTGACTACAGGCTCAATATTGTTCACTTCAAACGGGTAAGTCTTTGACACCTGTCCAGTATAGAACCATACTGTGCAGTTTGACTACAGGCTCAATACTGGTCACTGTAAAGGGGTAAGTCTTTAGCACCTGTCCAGAATAGAGCCATACTGTGCAGTTTGACTACAGGCTCAATATTGTTCACTTAAAACGGGTAAGTCTTTGACACCTGTCCGTGTAGTCTGACCAGGCTCTATACTGTTAATTGACCAAATTTTAAAATTTCAGTTTGATATTCCAAATATTGATAATGGAAAATTCTAAGAGCAGTAAGCTTGAAAAATCCACATAATTATTAAGAATTTAAGGGCACGTAATGGTTTGTTTCCATGAGCAAGACACTTCACACTCATTGCTCAGTACTGGTTTGTTCAAGGAAAGGATTCGAGATTGTGTCTTTAAGCTTATCTCTTCCTACACTGTCGAACTTACATAAATTACGTATCAACCAACTTAAGGGTTAACTAAGTTATACTCTTTAACATTTCATACATTAAATAAGCTATCACTTCTTTAGCCGGCTTATATAAATAGACATGCTAATGTGAAGTATAGTTTATGTGTATATAACCCGAGTACATATTAACGAATGAATTACGATATTAGGTGGTATTACTAGCAATCAAGTATGGCTCGAACTGTATCGCCTATTATTGCTTTAATGTAATTAAACACAAAGTTAAACAATATTTGGCACAAGAACAGATCAAGATGCTGATTACCTCAAACTTATTTCACTGTAACTTGGTAACTCAGCAGCAACAGTATAAGGTGGCGGCCTATTATAAGGCGTTCCGGCGTGACCAGTCACGCCGTTACAATTTAGCGTTCTCCGCTCATTCGATACAGATATTACTTGTTGCCCCGCTTGATTCACCGAGTCTCTTGTTTCATTCTCTTGCGGTGACGACACATAATGACGTTGTGGCGTCACATTATCTTGCTGTGACGACAGATATCTTTCGACCATCTCAAATCGCCTAGAGCGCGACCTTTCGATGCGTTTTATTGCACAATAATGCTGCAAACTTTGGTAAACAGCAAACACCATACTTATTGCTGCAGCAAAATGCATAAATACCCCGACAGCCGACAGTATTTTTGCCCAAGCATCGCTAAAACTATTGCTTGAATCTACGGCAGTAAGTTTAAGCACCGGTATAAGTAAAAACATACCTGAAAATAGAGAAACAAAACAGAGAACGTTTTGTACGTAAATAGAGGATATTGGATGAGTGTAAGTTTAATACTGAATTTATTGAACGAGTAAATGCGAGCCTCTGGCGAGCATAATGTTATTTTATTCAAAGAGTTATAAAATGGATATTTTATTTATCACATACCAAATACAGTGAAAAAGAACCATTTTTTATTAGCGCGCCTCTAGTGTAACGCTAACATTTATTGTGCCTTAACGCTTTGTCTGTATAACTCAGATGACGTCATATCAAAATAATATGCACGACCGTGCAATACCATTTTTACGGAGTCGGCACGGACATGTGATAAATAGAGGATATTGAATGAGTGAGGGTTCAATACTGAATTTATTGCACGAGTTGAATAAAATTATGTTATGCGAGCCTCTGGCGAGCATAATATTATTTTATTCAACGAGTGCAATAAACTCTGGCGAGCATAATATTATTTTATTCAACGAGTGCAATAAATTCAGTAATGAACTTACAAGAATTTAATATTCTATTTATCACTTACCCAAAATAAAGACCGTTGAAAGTGAAAAAAGAGTCATTTTTCATTGACGCGCCTATAGTATAACGCTAATATTTAGCGCGTCTTTACACTATGTTTGTATAACGCTAATGACGTCACGTCAAAATATATGCACGGCCGTGCAATACCATATTTACGGAGTCGCAAAATCGGCACATGTGTGTGATAAACGAGTATAAGCTAAATTCAGGCTAATAACACTAGGCTAATCATATCTAAGTCTAACAATCTGTAACAAATGTGCTGAATGCCTATTTGTATTATATACGTCAATAACCTTAAAACACAAACATCATTTGCTTACATATCACACATTAGAAAGCAAAGTTAGGTAATGGAACACAAACAACCAGGAAAACGGCATCTAAAATCTAACAAAATTTGACACGTTCCAAATTATGTTATGAAGTGAACCGAAGTCCTGAACAAAACTGTTGGCGATGTAATTAGATATTCATACATAAGTGACTATCACAAAAAATGGCGTGCATGTATGTATAGCCCTTTCTAGTATTAACAAAATTTGGATCATCTTTAAAATGAAAACATCTTACTTGATGAAAGGGATGTGATCCCGCTTGCAAATAGTATAATAATAGATATAGTCTGGTTCTTAGGATTCTTTGAAAGAAATATTGTTGTCAAAACAACTGCCAGAAAATTGCACACAATGGCCATTATCGTCAATACTTTAAACTGCGTCCAGTGGAATTCTTCCAAAACTGTTGGAAAAAAGAATGCAAATATTAATACTTATACTAATACTGAGCAATACAAGCTAGCATACGGTGTTAATAACTTCAAGTATCGGACTACTTCTATGTTGAAATATCCCTAACCTTTTGGGTATGATATTCAAAATTGCTATTTCAGCAAATATTCAAGTTGCAAGCTTTAAACCAAACTTTAGAAAATTGTACTGATATTTTAGGAAATGTAAAAAGATTCAAGATAATTTTTTTGGTAATTTATAAGTGCCGTTTGCAATGTGTAAATTATTTTCTTTGTTCAATTCACAACATTTTTTTCTTTCTTTTTTAATACATTTTCAAAATTTTCATGAATTTTATCAGGAATCTGGAGGCGTGCTGCTTTGACAATCTTTTGAATTTGCATATCTTAACATTTCTTACTCTTGTCATAATTTTCTTCACAACTCATCTGAGGGCTTTAATATTTTAAGGATTATCTAATGATGGCTATATTTTCTTATTGACAACATTCATTTCAGTTAACATGTAATTAAACTCTGAGCCTGCTGGTAGCAAATACTTCTACCCATGCAACCAGGACAGACCATGATCTGCCGATGCAATCATAACATGGTCTTCATTGTTCGTTATTCAATCGGTGCATATTTTCAACAACATCAAAAACAACCCTAAGATGATATGAATCGAAAGATAGCGAACTTCTTTTAAGATTTTTAGAGCGGTAAGAGTTAAACGCAATCATTAAGATGCCTCAGATGTGAAACTTTTTATGGTAGATAAAAATTTTAAAAAAAATCAACAATTGAAATTGAAAAGAGCCACGCGCAACGAAAAATAATAAAAACAATTGGCAGTTTTATTGATTACACACTTAATAAACACGAATAATGCATCAGAAAATGTCACCTGGCATACTTTATATTTACAACCATCTTTGAATATTGGTGTTTTCTTTTCTTTTTTTTTTTTTTTTTTTCTTTTTTCTTTTTTTTTTCTTTTTTTTTTTAGTTAAGATATAAAATGTTTTCTGTCCTTAACATAATTGAATACCTTTCCAAGTTTCATGGTTCTCTTATATTATAAGGCCAAACGTTTTCAACTTTAGTAAAATTTATAGGTTTCTTTTATAAATTCGCAATAAAAAAATATATCATAAATGCTTGACTGAACACGCGTTTACGTTTTTATGACCAAAATTTAATTTTGGGTATAAAATTAATGCAAAAAATGGCTAATATTACCAGTTTACTGACCGAGCTTCAGTTTGATAGTTACTTTAAAGCAGAACGCCTCCAGATTCATGTTGATTTTAATGAACATTTTGGAATTGAATTTTCATAGCAAAATATTGTGAGCAGAACAAATAAAGTAAAAATAACATATTGCAATCGGCACATGCATTCTTAAAGAATTACCAAAGAAATCATCAACATATGCAAAACAGCCCTTACTGCGTTAGTAACGCAGTTGAAATATGATAATAAAATACTGCAAAATCAGTCTTAAACCGCACTTAACATGTAAAATATAATTTTGGTCTTGAATGGTTTTATCTTTCTTAAAATGTTAGTTCATTTTGCTCAATATTGATTGTCTTGAAATATTTTGGCTCATCTGGAAGCGTGCAGCTTTAAAGCGGTTGCGTATTTTACACTAAAAATAATGAATGGTTTCGACCAGATTGAAATGTGGGCAAGTCCATTTCAGATATTTTGCGTGGTAAAGAGTGCGTACAAAACAGTGACAACGATGACAATTACGAGTATTCAAGCGTCTTTTTACTTAAATGAAATTAATACTATTGAGTGTTGACATTTAATGTATTGCGTTTCAGTTTATGAACTTTATATAGGTATATTAATCTTGGTTTCGAATGTAATGAAAAACAACAACAACTACAACTTGCCGGCATGTGTTTTGCAATGAATTTAGCTTTAAAACAAATGTTAATAGTAATAAAAATGTAAAAGTTTAAGAAAATATTCGACACTTAGTTTGTAATAATGTTTAGTTTAAGAATTGTATAGCATATACACTGTAGTTCACATTAAAGTTACGTATATTCTTTTTGCATTTTTTTCAGTGTTTTTGGAAATATAATAGAAAATAGTTTAACGACGATGAACTTCGCATACAGTTGTATATGCATAACGTTATATAATGTTAGCATTAAATTTTCTGCAGCTATCTTTCATTTTTACAAAGTATTAAATCATCGATAATAACTGTAAAGTATATATTGTAATTGAAAAAGAAATAAATATTTACCTATATCGCTTTATGGTTCACTGTCTATTTTTGCTTTTATACAGACTAACGATAAGTTCAATAAACGATCAGATACTATCATCATTTAGTTCAATGATGACTTTTGTTCACTCAGGGGTGACATGTCATTGACATTTTCACTTTTTTACGTTAGTGAAATAATGTAAAAAAAAAACTTCTTATTATTGTTACTGCCCTTTTAATATCTAATATTATTTGATGGAAACTTTTGAAACAAATGCGCATAAACGTTTTGGTTACTTCTTTTTTCCTGCTGTCTGTTAATATGGAGTTTTTGGGATTTATGTTCTTATCTAAACCTGGTAAACTTGCGCGATTTGATTAGTCCCGCAGTCAATTTAAAAGTTAAGGTTAAAAGTTAAGGGATTTTAATATAACAAAAACAATAATAACAACAACAAATGAGCAACTAGCGGATGTTCAGGCTGGCCTGGCTCGATATTGATGTCAAATGCTTTCAGTTCCAACAAGTTATGGGTTAAGCAATGATAAAACAAAATTGAGTGTATTTGCAATATATTTCACAAACTATACATTGTGCACATTGTGTAATTCTTTACAGTATAAAACTTAACACACTATAAGCTTTTATTCAACTCTAAAAAATCATAGTTTTAAACTTTACGCTTTATGCAACTTAAAAGATCATAGTTGCAAACTAGTCTATGCATATTAAAAAACATGTTTAAATGCAAAAGTTATAAATGTTAAAGTAATAAGAGAAAAAAATATATAAACCTGATATGTACTGGTTTCTTCCTATATCTTCTAAAGCATGTTCCCTTGTAGATACTCTGCAAGTTCCATTTTGGCAGTATTCAGCTAACCAAACGCCTTCATGAAACGTCCACTGCCTATTGTCGTCTGCTTTCACTAGCCAAGCTGGTCCAAATATCCCTACGAGATTAAAACAGAATCCAAAAATGTCAAAGCTTAGGGCGACGCCAGCAAAACGCTTTGTAGAGTTTGCATGTTTCGCCATAATTTAACTTTCTACATACTTATATCTTTCTTATGAAATGAAAACATCTTATTTACTCATAAAGCGTTCAGGGTAACATTTAAGCCGTAGTCCCTGGGTGGAAAACCACTTTGAAAATACAGCGTATCTCAAGCGAGACTGTATTTTAATTTTAAATACAGTTTCTTTTCACGCTAAGTTATTTATACCTCACGACGAATAATATCTTCGGTTTGTGACTTTTATACACCTAATACAGCGTGTATGTAATTATGTTATATAGCGTTTTTATTAAACTTAAAATCGTGCATTGGTTATATGAAACTTGTGTCAGTCATTGTTAGGAACGGTGCAAATATGCATATTATGCGTTTGCCTTTAAACTTTGACATCATGGGTTTGGGTCTTACTGGAGTCACGGTCATGTTTCCTTTTATGACACCATCAGTGATTATTTACAATGCAAACTCGAATGTGGTTTTAATATTCTTCAAACGTTCATCTCAGTCGTGCTAAAAACATTAAAGATTAAAATAATAATGTTAAAGGCCCATTATACTTCAGATATGCTTTTAGTTTATATTTTATTTTATTTTATATTTCTCAAAAAGCTATACGACAAAGTAGGTAGGTAGGTAGGTAGGTAGGTAGGTAGGTAGGTAGGTAGGTAGGTAGGTAGGTAGGTAGGTAGGTAGGTAGGTAGGTAGGTAGGTAGGTAGGTAGGTAGGTAGGTAGGTAGGTAGGTAGGTAGGTAGGTAGGTAGGTAGGTAGGTAGGTAGGTAGGTAGGTAGGTAGGTAGGTAGGTAGGTAGGTAGGTAGGTAGGTAGGTAGGTAGGTAGGTAGGTAGGTAGGTAGGTAGGTAGGTAGGTAGGTAGGTAGGTAGGTAGGTAGGTAGGTAGGTAGGTAGGTAGGTAGGTAGGTAGGTAGGTAGGTAGGTAGGTAGGTAGGTAGTAGGTAGGTAGGTAGGTAGGTAGGTAGGTAGGTAGGTAGGTAGGTAGGTAGGTAGGTAGGTAGGTAGGTAGGTAGGTGATAGATAGATAGATAGATAGATTGATAGATAGATTGATAGATGGATAGATAGATATAGATAGATAGATAGATTGATAGATAGATTGATAGATGGATGGATGGATGGATGGATGGATGGATGGATGGATGGATGGATGGATGGATGGATGGATGGATGGATGGATGGATGGATGGATGGATGGATGGATGGATGGATGGATGGATGGATGGATGGATGGATGGATGGATGGATGGATGGATGGATGGATGGATGGATGGATGGAATGGATGGATGGATGGATGGATGGATGGATGGATGGATGGATGGATGGATGGATGGATGGATGGATGGATGGATGGATGGATGGATGGATGGATGGATGGATGGATGGATGGATGGATGGATGGATGGATGGATGGATGGATGGATGGATGGATGGATGGATGGATGGATGGATGGATGGATGGATGGATGGATGGATGGATGGATGGATGGATGGATAGATAGATAGATAGATAGATAGATAGATAGATAGATAGATAGATAGATAGATAGATAGATAGATAGATAGATAGATAGATAGATAGATAGATAGATAGATAGATAGATAGATAGATAGATAGATAGATAGATAGATAGATAGATAGATAGATAGATAGATAGATAGATAGATAGATAGATAGATAGATAGATAGATAGATAGATAGATAGATAGATAGATAGATAGATAGATAGATAGATAGATAGATAGATAGATAGATAGATAGATAGATAGATAGATAGATAGATAGATAGATAGATAGATAGATAGATAGATAGATAGATAGAGATAGATAGATAGATAGATAGATAGATAGATAGATAGATAGATAGATAGATAGATAGATAGATAGATAGATAGATAGATAGATAGATACTTTTTATTCCTCCAATATTGAAGAGCAAAACATATTTACAAAACCGAACAATAACAGAGCATGGCATATGTACAATAAATTACAAATCATAACATCTAAGCAAACATCATTTGTTATACAATTCTTTCAGATCGAATAAATATATGGAGATATGCTGATATCTACATTTATCTCATTTATGACATAAAATGTATGTAACAGACTTTATTTATATAAAAACCACATCGTATTTGTATTTACTCTGCAAAAAACTAGACGTTGACTATCAAATTATAAAGTATACAGGATACAAAAGATATATTTAATTGCTAAAGTTTAGTTTGAGAATTCATGTATATTCATATCTTTCTTCGGTTACTTCGGTTACGCCCAAATGTCACCTTTGTGTCACCGTTTTTTTCTGGGGCATAATGTGCCTTTAAGAAATACTGACATTATGCTAGTGTAGCGTTGAGCTGAATTGACTAAATATTTCAAAAGACTGATTATTTTAATTGTAGATTGACGACCCGTTGATACTGGAAAATGTTTAGGATAAAATATAAATCTGCCTAAAATAGGAAAAGACAAGTAGCCTTATCTTTTTATGAATTGAACTACGATGAATATTAACATACATTTCCTTCGGCCGCGTGAGTTATTATTCATGCGAAACTAAGTGAATTATAAAATTGAAAAGAATTATGGCACTATGTAAACTTATTTTGACTTTCACCTGTTCACTCACTATATGTCCTTGGAACTTAAAGCAGCAGCACGCCTCCAGTTTTATGCTAATTTTCATGAAAATTTGATACTGTATTTAACAGTTTGATATTGTGAAGTTACCAAAAGAATGCAATTTACACATTATTAATGGCATGTTCAGCCCATGTATATTTCTATTAAGAGGTCAAAATATGCAAAAATAGCCCTTACTGCGTTAGTAACGCAGTAGAAATATAGTTATGAATACTGAAAAAATGGTCATTATCCGCACATAACACGTAAACTATTACTAGATTTTTAAATCTTTATACTTTTCCTAAAATCTTAGTAAATTTCTCAGGTTTGATTTTATCCAAATATTTTTTTCTCATCTGGAGGCGTGCAGCTTTAATGTCACTTTTATCTTACTGACATAGATTAGATAATTTTCCCAACATTTATCGAAATATAATTTGTATGCATGTTAAAAAGATATTATTTTTAAAGCTGCATGCACCCAGACAAACCAAAATATTTCAAGAAAATCAAACTTGAGAATAAAGGTACTGACGTTTTAAGAAAAGTAAAAAGATTCAAGATACAAGTAATAATTTCCATGTTATGAGTGATTTATAACCGATTTAGCAGTATTTTTCACCATAAATTTACTGCGTTACTAACGCAGTAAGGGATATTTATACATATTTTGACCTCTTTTTGGTAATTTATATGGATTGTAAATGTTATTTGCAATGAGAAAATAATTTTCTTTGCTCACCTTACAATATTTTATCTTTTTATACATTTTCAAAATTGTCATGCAAATTGGCAGACATGTAACAAGTCAAGTCAAGACAAAATATTTATCAGCGTCAACATATATATATATACATGTTTTTCGCCACATAAAATTAACGTGACATGTTACAGACGAAAGGCACGATTATATATTATTTATTCGATAATTTATACGAAAAGAAATTATAGAAAATCACACATCCCTGCGCACAGGCCTTGAAATGGTTATTTGGCTATTGAAATTTCACAAAAGAAAACACATTTAATTTCATTATCATGCATAAATTATGCATAAATCATTAAATAATACAAATATACAATAAAATATGAAATGTGTAAGTTCAATACTGAATTTATTACACGAATTAGATAAAAAAAAATATATTATAACGGTCTTTACGCTATGTTTGTATAGCACAAATGATATATGCACAGCCGTGCAATACCATTTTACGGAGCCGCAATATCGGCACTTATGTCAATATGTCCAAATACGTGGTTAACACTGTTACAATAATCATTGCTCTGTAAGGTGTCCCAAAACATGTTACTAATGACCATAATAATAGCTTTTTTCTACTTTGCGCATCTAATTATGATATAAGAGACGACATCCATATTTCAAACGTTTATCTGCTTAAAAACATTCCCAAATAGTTACATTTCCTACATGCCGAATATATAACTATTTTTACATTAGGCAATCTGCTTTTGATTTTCGCATTATGTCAACTATCAAAACACTTAAAGTGTATTGAACTTTAACCTTATCTGAACTTGACAGCCTTCAAGGAAGGATACTTTTTAAGTAATGGACAGAATATGTATGGCTGCTGCAGGCCCCACTATTTTATTCATCGCGATGAGTTCAAGTATATTATATGTATATGACTGATCAAGAGGAAATTATGTATGTAACTTAATTAAGACATTTCACTTTATATATATCATGTATTTGAATAATTAAATATCATTTCTATAGATCGGCACACGAAGATAATTTACTTTACTTTTGTAATTAATTTAAGGCCAGCCTTAGTGTATGTGTGTATAATTCTTATGTAAATCAGTGTAACTTTTCATTGATTAACGCCATTAATGTGTCCACATTTTTACAAGATCACCGTCACATGAAAAGATAATGAAAATGTACCCGTGTTGGTAAGGACACAAGCGTTTTATTTTAAAATATCATTATATGATAAAGTATAGTAATTGTTATGTCACAAAATATGAATATATACGCATCATTATCAATACTAAATACTAGTAGTTTTGAACACTGACAAGTCATAATATGACAGGAACTAAACTGTCAACCAAATATAGCAATGTTAACAATATGATTTATTAAATATAATAAAGCTTTTAAAAAATGCGCTGTATCCTTTTCGAATTTTTGTAGCATTGTCTTATGCTGACACCAGAAAAGGTCGATTTTTTTTCTTCAAAAAGCTAGGCGTGTCCAATCACATTATGCTTATATCGTTTTGAGATGTTTCATTTCCATATCACTAATACTTTTCTAATAATAGAACAAAGTACACAGTGCTTTTGATATCTATGAATATATATTGTTCTAGACAGTTTTGACTGACATGCATATAGATGTTGTTGAAGGTAATTAATCATAAGAATCTGTAACTGTCATACTGTTTGAAGAACTGCAACTGAATGTCTGAAAGTTATGTGTACAACTTTTCATTAGGCCTAGTACTAAATGTATTGAAATATGGAAGAACTTTCACCCTCTGTC